CGCAGGGGCTACCTCAGAGAGTTCACGACTGAACCAAGTCCCCAGAACTGGAAGCACCAACACAAGAAGCCACTGATGTGGCGAAGGGACGATCGGCGGGGGGCGGAGGTCCAAGATGCTGACGTTCTCCATGCCGATAAGACCGAGGGTCGTTGAACCCCCAAGCCGACAGTCACATCCGGAAGTACCCCTGATCGATTAAAAAAAAGTAAGACTAGGAGTATCACCGACCGGCGAAAAGGCATTCAACAAAAAGGAAGTAAGGCTAGGAGTAGTACCGCTGACCGGCGGGAAGGCATTCAACAAAAAAGAAAGTAACACCAGGAGTACCGCCGACCGGCAGGAAGACGTTCAACAAAAAAGAAAGTAAGACCAGGAGTACCACCGACCGGCGGGAAGGCATTCAACAAAAAAGAAAGTAAGACCAGGAGTACCGCCGACCGACGGGAAGGCATTCAACAAAAAAGAAAGTAAGACCAGGAGTACCACCGACCGGCGCGAAGGCATTCAACAAAAAAGAAAGTAAGACCAGGAGTCCGCCGACCGGCGGGAAGGCATTCAACAAAAAGAAAGTAAGACCAGGAGTACCGCTGACCGACGGAAAGGCATTCAACAAAAAAGAAAGTAAGACCAGGAGTACCGCCGACCGACGGGAAGACATTCAACAAAAAAGAAAGTAAGACCAGAAGTACCGCTGACCGGCGGGAAGGCATTCAATAAAAAATAAAGTAAGACCAGGAGTACCACCGATCGGCGGGAAGGCATTCAACAAAAAAAAATTAAGACCAGGAGTACCGCCGACCGGCGGGAAGGCATTATATTCAACAACAAAAAAGAAAGTAAGACCAGCAGTACCACCGATCCGGCGAGAAGGCATTCAACAAAACAATAATCCACTCGTCACCAAAATGACGTTTACTCTCCTTCGGCTTAGCGCGGTACGGCCCTAGAGCTTAAGCTGTGCGGCATGATGAGAAAATAGTTGAACGAAACGAGGGAAACCCAAAAGCAGGAAACCCGTTCGTCGCCAAAGACCGGCGAGAAGCCAAGGTAGAGGGCTGAGGGCCTGTAGACTACCAGCAAAGCTGAGTGCCATAAGACGACCATCAAAGTCTATGTAGCACGATCGGCCCCTCAACGTCATCGTATCCCGCTCACGATCGGCTCGTCCATACCTTCCAGGATGGCGACCGCCATCTTATGCAGTAAAATCGGCCCCTCAACGCCATCGTGTCTAGAGTACGGTCAGACTCACTGTGCAGATAAAAGTCATGATCGGTTGGGCCTTCCACGGAGGATGCTCAAAATGAATTTTGGGAAGGAATATCGTAGCATAGATGAGCATCTCCACTTCAGCGGCTGAGGATCTGGCGACAAAAATCATCCACGAAGAGACCGAGGGCCACGAAATGAGCCTCACGGCCGAGGGACGTGACACGCAACATATCCAGAGACTAAGCTTGCCAAGACTGAATGTATCGAAGTCATAACGTCCAAAGGAGTCAGGTCTTTAGGGACCGATCTTCTTGAGCATGTCGGGTCGAGCATCCAGAAGGAAAATTCCGGAGGCCGAACATCTCTAGGAACTCGGGCCGAAGATTGACGTTTAGCGTGACGAGGTCGAGGCGCCCCCGGGTCATGCATGACGAAGCTGGACATATCAAGGTCGAGGTTCTAGGAATCGAACGTCCGAAGGAAGTTGAGCCGGGCATTCAGGGTCCGAACGGCCCAAGCCCTCACACACATGCCAACGAAGACAGAGGGCGAGCGCGAGCGCGAGCAAAAGTATACTTTCTCGAGCAAATTCGCGAAAGTGTTGGGTTAAATCACCCTACGAACGTCCCCAGTGACAAACAACAGAGAATACCCTCCCTCTAGACGGGAAGACGTACGTCCCCAACGGGCCGCCAAGGCCCGTTCGCATAGACGGCCGGGTACGGAGATTAAGTGAATAAAGCAAAGACATTCGGAGATCCAGAATACAGCAGGCAATCGTCGCCTCAGGGGCGTCGGCTAAAGGCAGTACGGCGGAAGCATTTTTTTCTGGTGAGATCCCCTGGAACTACTTACAGTGGGGCATCGCTTTCCTCTCTGGAATTCATGGCAGAGCGGAGTATACTCTTTTTCCTCTGTTAGGATTTTTTCCCACAGGGTTTTTTCCTCAATGGTGTTTTTAATGAGGTACCCCTCTGCCTATGACTTGGTAGGCGCCAAGGGTATTGGCTGGCGACGTACGTCGAATTCAATTCTATTTCCTTATGTCCCGTGCACGCTCGGAACACCAGGGGTGGGGGACTTGTGTTGGGTAAATGGCCCAAATAAGACCGACCCATTAACCCCGAGGCTCACCAGACGACCATTCCCAAAGCCCAATAGTCTGGGGACAAATACCCTCAGACAGTGATGACGTTCGGCTCCTGCACCAAAATGGCAGTAATCGGTGACGACATACGGCCTCCTCTCATGGTGTATCTAAACAGGAAAACATCGCATCAGGAGACGTACGTCAGGATACACAGAGTGGCTCAGTAACTTGGAAGGCACCACGGGACACCAGGCGGCCAATGCCTGGGGACGACCGTCGCCACCCATTGGCGGGAAACCATGCCAAGGAAGCCACCGTCACATGAGGAGCGTCGACTAAAGGCAATATGAACGTCTCCAAGGGTTTGGGGCAACTCGAGATGCTTTCCCCCTAAGTCAGGGGACGTACGCCCCCAACAGGCTAGCAAGGCCTAATTACAAGATGTACGTGTCCAAAGGTAGGTGCTCTGACCCAAGAGCAGCGACTGACGCGCGTCTCGCAAGACTTTGGGTCCAACAGGAAACGAGAGGCAGGCTCATGGGGATGAACGTCCCCACCCCTTAGCGGGGAGCCAAGATCCTGTCGGGAAGTCATTTCATACAGAGATTTGGTGGTTGGGATCCAAGCCAACCATAGCCCAATTCTTGGGGACGCTCGTCCCCAACCTCTGGTGGGAATCCAAGGTTCTGGCCGGAAGCGCATTTAATACAGAGATATGGTGGTTAGGAAGCCATTTCATACAGAGATTTGGTGGTTAGGAACTTAGGATCCAAGCCAACCACAGCCCACCACATCAGCATGCTTAACCACCATCGGGCAGTATAAATAGAAGCATTTATTTCATTGTAAAGGGGTGACAAGCCCATTTATCCCTTAAAATTTTAACCAAAGCATCCCTCAACCAATTGAGCTTATCAAGATCAAAAGAGAATACTTCTTAACGTGAGAAATGAGAATGATTCTGGAGCCCATTTATCCCTTATAAAGAATTTCCAAATTCCAGTTTATGACAAGCCCATTTATCCCTTAAAATTTTAACCAAAACATCCCTCAACCAATTGAGCTTATCAAGATCACACTCAATTGTTGATAAAAGTCCCTGCTTCATCTCAGATATGCGTAAACAATTGAAATCAACAATATCAAACCAGAACAATTTACTTTCAATAGTAAATTGAAAGCATTTCAGTCAGCAATGTTTACCTTCAATAGATCCCCCGTTTGACCCTTCTGGAAAACCTTCTTTGAACTGCCTCATGTCACTGAAAAGGTCCCCTGTGAGTTCACAAATTGCCTCATTTCTCCTGTTTTTTGATCCCCAAGCAGATTTGTGAATTCCCATACCCCCAAAGCAGATCTACGAATAGGTGTTCCCTAAGGTGTGACACCTTGTTTCCAACAGCCGTCGTAACAGAGTTGTCCCTTGTTGTCGATTTCTTCTCCAAAACCTCCTCCCACTTTCGACCCTGGCCTGCTCGACTGGAGCCCATTGCCTTCGCTCATTAGACCGCCAATCGAAGTCCGTCACTCGCCTGCTAGACTGGACTACTGGAGTTCACCGCCTTCTCGATGTCACCCTCTAAAATCGTGCTCTCAGAGATCACTTTGTCGTCTCCCTGGATGCACTTGTTGCCCCTCGCAAAAGTTTGGGGGTCGTAGGGCTTAAACGACCCAGAGCTTCTCGCTCATCCCCTCTATAGTTTTTGTTTCTAATAGTTCACGTTATATATATATATATATATATATATATATATATATATATATATATATATATATATATATATATATATATATGTGTGTGTGTGTGTGTGTGTGTGTGTGTGTGTGTGTGTGTGTGCAGCCAAAAAAATAATAGAGAAAAAATGTGATACGATAATATATAGCAGTTTGGGACTTTGGGGGTTTCGTAACCGTTACATTTGTGCAGTCAACAAGTTTAGAAGACTGTCTCCTGGTATACATTGCTCTTCACGGTGTTTAATTTTTTTTTTTGCAACTCGGCAAAAATACGTCGAAGACTACATGCATTGGAGAATGCAATACCCGTACAGTGTCTATTTTAATGAGCTAGCTTATTTTTCGTAGACTAGAAAGGGGAGCATATGAGGTGCAGACTGTACCTGCTTCCATACGTGCAGACTCCTTCTTGGTAATAGGTGCATATATTATTAGGAGGGGCTTTCCAATCATGTGAAAACTCACAATGTTCCCCCTTCAGACAGGCCCCGTGAGCAAAAAACTTGCAAATGACCCTTTTCGACGTGGCTTCGATCTGTGGCGAAGAATCGGAGCCGAAGAACAAATTCCGCTGGGAACGAATTAGAAATGTTGTGTTTCTGTTTTCCGTTTGTTTATGAGCACTGAAAGCCAACACAACAATGTCTACCTCTCGCTCATGGGTGAGAGGTGCACGTATCAAAGGCTTCATTGGTTAGATATATTGACCAAAAAGGGTGAACTCAATCCAATTTGGACATTATATTTGCATATAGGGTGGTGATTGGTGAACCCGACCAAATTCTAAATCAGGCAATTGATGGAAATTGGAACCTTAACTGGTATATCCAGTCTTTTTCGGTTCAGTTCCAGCCTTTTAGAAATTTGGAGTCCTTTTCATAAATAAAAAGCAAGATCCAATTCATTTTTTATGAACCAGTGGTCCTGTTTCTAATACCATTTTCGAGTAGGAAATGAGAAACCCCAGCCAGGACATCTTTAACTAAGACAATAACTTGCAGAAGTTGACAAGTCCAAGTAGCAAAAACAGCACAGTTTCTTAATTAATACGAAGTAGTTCCAAAATCACTTCATATAAGTATATACGTTTACATAGAAAGTTGAATACTAGATACCAGATACAGAATTACAGACGGCAGAAAATTAGTCCCTGGACTTTTGGTGCTTATCACGTCACTCATTGGAGGATTCCTTCAGACGAGCAATCAATTCATCCTGCCCCAAAATGAAAAAAAGAAGAAGAGGAAATGTGAGTATAGTAGGTGGAAATATGAGCAACACGTGAAGGGCATAAACTCTCTTGCCTTCCTTCCTCTAGGTGAAAGGCCCCTTTCCTTCAAGAGTGCACGGAGTCTCTCCACCGTCAAGCTTTGGAGATCTCTGTCAGGGTTACGGTTTTTAGCACCTTCTGACAATGACAAGGAGAATGAGTTAGACAACCATTTCAACTCATATTGGCTTCAAACTGCAATTTTCCTGTTATCTGATGGTTGACTATAGTGTCAACTAGAATCCAAGAAAACTTGGCTACTGAGACATTCTGTACATTTTGGCAGTTTTGCTCAAACTTGGCTACTGAGACATTCATGCATTCAGTCCGTTTGATGGTAAGAAGGAAAGTGACGATATAAGATTATACACCATACGTCCTCTACTAATTGCACAATTTTCTCTTTAAGGAAGCCACCAAATAATTGTTCTACCATCCTTTTAAGAAAATAAAGGTTTGGAGAATGATGTATATGCCATTACATTTTCTGCCCTAATACTAGTCCTAGAAGAGTTTGAGGCTGGCTAACATGAATCAACATATGACATCGGAGTTAGAAATCACTTATCAGTACTACTCAATATATCTATCAAACTTAGGGTTTAATGCACCAAACCCCCTCGTGATATAGAAATTCAGTGCATTAGCTCCTGTGATTTGAAAAATGCATCAAACCCCCTTGTGTTTTAATTAATCATGCACAAAACCCCTTTTATGAATAAATTTAATGATTTTGAAATCACTTTTCCTAATATTATGATTGAATATGCAAGTAAATATGTCAAAATCTCTAAATCATACAAAAATGTTAATCATTTTTCTTTTATTTGACAATTGAATTTGTTCATAGAAAGGATTTTACGCATAATTAATGAAAACACAAGGGGGTTTGACGCATTTTTTAAATCACATGGGGTTAATGCGCCGAATTTCCATATCACGGGGGGGTTTGGTGCATTATACCCATCAAACTTACTATTAAAAACTGTGAAAACGCCACTACTCAAAGAATTAAAGAACGACAGGGGGTAAAATAACATGAGATAACTACAGAAGTTACACCTCAACCCCATTTTGTAAGAAGCACTTTCTTTTTCAGTCAATCCCAAATTATGAACACTTTCTAAATTGAACTCCACTAACTTTTTACTTGGTAGAAAACGAGAAAGTTTAACTGCAAGTCTGCAACACCAAATAAGACCCAATAGCAGCTTGACTCTAAATTAACCAGAGCCCGATGTGGTTTTCAGGTACAATGGTATTTTGCCCCTCCCCCAATGGTCACTTACCCTGTTGAGAAACTACTTGACTGCTGCTTGCAGCTTTCTTTGCTGATGCTCTACCACCCAATGCTCTTTCAGCCGCTCTAGAAAAGGACACTTGATGTATTAACCACAGTAGCATAACTTCTAAGAATTGATACCTAGTAAAACAACATGCATAGATTGCACGAATAGTATATGCACACACACAAGAAAGAAAAGCAAACCGGATACCTTTTCCTTGAACTTTCATTTGCAGGAATGCTCTGCCAGTCTTTTGAACCAGATTCGGCCCTCTGCTGATTAAGCGTAAGAGATCTAATTAAAATATTCATCTCGTCCGTTTTGATGATCTGGTTTTCTGTACATAATAAGTTCACTCAGGCACCAACTACCAAGTATAAGAACTCCCCATTGCATAAAGAAACAATGGACTGGTAAGGGAATGAAGTTCAATGTTGGCTGAATCAAGCAGATAGCAGCAAGATTTTAGGGGTCAGCTTGGATGGAGCGTTTAGCATGTGTTTTTGAGTGGAAGGCTATGTTTATATATCTGATGACTGAATATAATGTTTCTAATAATTAATGAATTATGATTGGAGTACTACATAATCACCTATTAGATTGCATTATTCCTTCCATTCTTCAAAAAGCTTAGATACAGATTTAGCCATCAAAACCTCTCCACCGGAAAATCCTCCAAACACTTCCATCCAAACTGATCCTAAATATCACATCAAACAAAGAAATAACCAGGCAGTTCAAAATATTGGAGGTAAAGCTTTTGTTTCCAACTCCCGAGAATAAGTTTTCCCTGGCACTGCCTTAGTGGCATTCAATATCTCAGTTTGTTTTACACAGAATTTCCCCTTGCTTCCAGTCGAGTGATCAACAATTAAGATAGATTATTGAATGATATAATGTAGGTACTCCTAAAATTACTTCATCCATCCCACTTTTGAATGCTAAATCCCATTTCTGTCATTAATCTTAAAACTACAGCTCTCAAAACTACTCGGACAAAAAGGAGTTTGTAAAGAAGATTCACATGATTAGACTTGGGTATCCAAGTTGAATACTCAACTGATTATAATTTTCACATTTTTTAATGTCAAAGAAGTTTGTATAGCATGTGCCTAATGTGCACAACTGAATCACTGAATGAAAAGAGGGGGCTTATGAGTTATCCAGACACGGATAAAGCAGCTTAGCCTCAAAGCACATGTTTTTACTCATTCCCATTATAATAAGATTCTATAAATAGAAAGATTGGGTAAAATCATCCCCTAGAGTTCTTAGAACTTTATATGTTAGATTGTTAGGCATTCGAGTGACTCCTGGCACACCATGTTCCAGTTCACTCCTAGAAGCACCTGAAATGGTTTTTAAAAAAGAAAGCTCCTTTCCAAAATACAAAATTGTTTACTATGAAACTATCCAAAACATTTAAAACAGAGTATAAGTTGTTCCGGATGTATATGACTGTAAATAAAATGAAAACTATCTCTTCTGAATGGAGGTCTTTGTTGGTCTGTAAATTACAAAAATTAATAAATTATCAGTTGCAACATATGGCGTTGCAGCATTCATGACATGCATGATGTTGCTATTTCATGGGGGAAAAGCGAACCTGGAGCACTTGTGTCACGATCACAAATATAAACCCTCATTCCCCCCTGCACCAAAAACTCAATATATGAATATGTATTGTAAATGAATAAAGATAGGAATCTGAATTTGATTACTAGTTAAATATTTAGTAGAAAGTGAACTGCCAATTACTACTAACAACTAGCACATAAACCAATCGATAATGATATAAAAAGAAATCAGCAAAGAATAAACCAATGAATCAGCATTTCTTCACGCATGGAAATATAAGCTCATTGTGCTTCATAGGGAACGTAGTGGTAGAAGATAGAAATAAAAACACATTGGGAATGCATGATCAATTTCTCTTATCAATTGCAATTTGTATTCATTAGAAACTGTATTAATTTCTCAATACCACAGTGCCATAGAAACCAGAGAAAACGGCAGAAAGTAGAAAAAAGTGAATATGATGAATTCTTGCTTCTTGAGTCCTTGACCATTATCAATCTATGTTTTCATCATATAAAACCTATTACCTTCCCAATATCCCCTCTTCCTCTTCTTCCACGCCAGTTTTAATGTATACATTAAAGCATCCATTGCCTCATACCCGCCATTATGATGTGAATACATAAATTCATTGAAAAAATCCAAAATTGACCTATTTGCGTTGATAATCACACGACACCACAAAATAGGAAGAATCTTTTCAGTGAAATAAGAGTTTACAACGAGTAAAAAACATTAATAAGTAAGAGAATGATGAGTTAGTTATGTATGTGTAACTTATACAACTAAGGAACATCAAAAGAAATCAAAATCTAATTAAAAGAATTATTCAAAAAGCGTATTGAAGTAAAACCATACCGGATTGGATGAGGGGAAGGTGGATGAGAATAGGCCTCGAGAAGGGAGGTTAGAGAGATATTTGGATGCCGCTCCACCGCCGCCAAGTTGAGGAGCCGTCATTGCATCCTTGAAGTTGGACGACGGAGTTGGCAATCCACACCCAGCATCCACCATGTCTCCAACTTGGTCTGACAATTTTTCCGGCCACGCCACAGACAATTTATCAAGATCAATTTTTTACAAATCCCGAAGGAGACGGGGAGAAGAGAGAGGATGACAGACCAACGTGATAGACCCGCGGGAGCGACCGCCCCTCTAACTTTGAGAAAATTTTATACGGAGTAATGAAAGCTTAACAAAACGTGTACGCCCGGCTTATAAATATTCCTATTTTTACATGGCACTTGTATTTTTACTTGTGGTTGAACCCGTTTTCAGATAGGATCATGTGTTTCATTCTTTATCAAAGTGGTTCATGTGTTTGAATTCCGTTATCACAAGAGGATCATGCCGTTAAAAACGTCTGAAAAATACCGTTAAAAGGAACTCTGATTTTCAAAAGTGCCCGAAAAATTAAAAGAAAAATACCGGAAGGTGCGCCTCAATAAGAAGACCGCTAGATCATCTTTCTTTTATGTTTTCAGCCACCCTTGTCACCGTAAAGTTCATCGGAAACGTGATATTAGTGAAATCATTTTTAAAAAATAATTCAAACAAATCTTGACGATGTGCCCCTTTCAGTATTTTTATTTTTATTTTTCGGGCACTTTTGAAAATCGGATTTACTTTTAACGATCTTTTTCAGACGTTTTTAACGGCGTGACCCTCTTGTGATAACAAAATTTAAACACATGAACTACTTTGATAAAGAATGAAACACATGACCCTATCTAAAAACGGACCCAACCACAAGTATCTTTTCCGTACTTTCCCTTTTTATTTTACCCCCTTTTCGTCACTCTTTCTCTACAGTTCCCCACTCGAGCCCACTTCTCCCCGCTCATTCTTTTTCTTTCACTTTGATGGATAGTGTATCCGGGGGTAGCTTATCCGAGGGGTTATTACGAGGAATAACAAGAGAGAAGTCAGAGCAAATAAGTATATAGAGAGAGAAAGTATATTTAGTAGTATGCAGCATTTATGACTTGTGACTTGGTTACAAATGGGGAAATGGGGTGCTATTTATAGTAGCAATAAATGCTGGACAGGGACACGTGTCAAGCGTCCATTGGCCGAGAGGTCACCTCAACTGGTTGGCGTTGGCAACCGCATGTGGCCGCATTTAATGCGGCTGTTGGATGGGACGTTGTACAGGGTACGGCGATCTGTACTCATGAGGCGCGGATATCATGTCGGGAAAGGTGCCCTCGGCTGTAGAGGACTAGCCGAGGGCTCTGAGTACTGGGGACCCCCTTGGTGCCGAGGGCTCCAGGTGCCGAGGGCTACTGCTTTTCGCCGTTTTCCCAGTAGCTTTGTTTTTGCTGTGTTGGCCCTCCTGTGAGTGTTAGAGCCTTCGGCCAGGGGGCCGAAGGCACCCCTGGTGCGCATTGTGGACGGCTTGGTACTCTGGGCGCTGTGATTTGGGCCTGTTGGGCCTTCTGGGCCTGTTGGGCCTTCTGGGCCTGTTGGGCCTTCTGGGCCTGTTGGGCCTTCTGGGCCTGTTGGGCCTTGATTGGAGTAGTAGGAGTCTGTGGGTCGGGGGTTCCCGGGCCATATACTCCATCAGGAGTCCCTCACTCCTTTTGCCGAAAGGTACTTGAGGGAAAAGGAGTAATTGTGTTAGTCCTCTGCCGTTGTTCCGTTTGTAGTTTGTAGAGTTGTGGGTAGTTTGCTGTTTGTTTATTCTGCCGAGGGCAGTCCCTCAGTTACCCACATGTCGGGACTTGAGGGGTCATGTTTGTGGTTTTTGTGATTTTTCCCGAGGGGTTCCTCCAGTCCCCCACTCCCTGAGGCACTTGCAAAGTGGTGAAAAAGGAGTGGAGTAGTTGCGCTGCTGTTGTGGGCCGAAGGCTGACGCTTTTCGTTTCATTTTGGGGGGATGCCTCGTTAAAACCCTCATTAGGAAAAACCCCGTGGGAAAAAATCCCAATGAGGGAAAAAGAGTGCACCGAATTCCCCCAACGATGAATCGAAAATGTGAAACCTTGGTTCAAAATGGAGAACAATGGTAATACCGAAGGCTCTCCTTGTTCTGAGGGCTCATGTGTTTATTAGCCGGAGGCTTGTTGTTGATGTCCTGGGAGGTGCCGAAGGGGAGTCCCTCAATCTGGGGATCGAGGGCGTGATGGATGAGGGTAGTAGTTGAATTGTTACCGGGGTGTCCCCTGCTTGTTGATTAGTTGGTGATGAGGATATTCGAGGGCTGCCATTACCTATGTGCCGTAGGCTATCCGTCAATGGGGCATACTCCCCGGGGGCTACCCGGCCCTTACAGTGTTGAAGGGGGGATCCCCGAGGGGTGGCCTGATATGAAGCCTTGGGCTTCTGAAGGAGTGATCCTGAAGGCGTCTGTTATGTACTGTGTAGGGCACAACCCGGAGGCTTTCCCTGATGAAGTGGAGTGAAGTAAAAAACCCGAGGGCTCCCAGAATATAGCCGTTGGAAATATAGCCGTTGGAATATGTAACGTCAGGATATAGCCGTTGGGGGGGGGGGGGGGTTGCCACGTGGTGCGTGCTCATTGGCTGCCTGTGGGCGGGCGTCACCGATTGGGTGAAACCTCGGTTGGTAATGATGGCAATCCAACTGGAGGCCCGGTTTCCAGGCCCAAGCCCGGATCCCAGCACCTATAAATACCCCAAGGCCAGGGCCATTCTCCGCTGTGCGATTTCAGTGTAGCGAAGCTCTGGCAAAATTTCTAGAGAGAGAAACTCCAGCCTTCGGTTGAATCCCCAGCCTTCAAGGTGAGTCCCTCTTCTGTTCTCCGTTTACTTGGTGAGTTTTGCTCCTGTGGCCTTAGACTTAAGTGTCTAGAGTTTCTTAGGGTGCCCTCGGACTTCAGAACCTTCGTATTCATTAGCCTATAAAAATGTCGTCCGCTAGTGATTCCCAAGACATATCGAGGGATCCCTCAGTTGAAGAGGAAGTCTTTTCCGACGCGGAGTCCCTGAGTGAGCAGCCTTCGGCCGGTGGTGACGTTGCCCTCGCCATTGAGATGCAGAAAGAGTTAGTTGCTGAAGTTGAAGCCGAGGGCTTTGAGCAAGAGGCGGAGGATGAAGAGCTCGCCTTCGCCGTACAAGTTGCAGAGGAGGAGGAAGAGAAGGAGAGGAGGAGGGTGACAGTGACTGTCCTCCCCCCCCCCCCCCCCCCCCCCCCCGCGGTTCTGGTGAAGCAAGCAGCTCGAGGCCACTGAACCCGACGCCCTTGAGAGTAGCCCCCGGATCGAGGGAGAAGAAAGCGAAAGCTGCTACCAAGAAGAAGGTCAGGGCCGCCGACCAAGGGAAGCCCGTTGATATGCCCGAGGGGTATTCTTGGCTGAACACCGAGGCCCTCGAGATAAAGTCGAAGGCGGACAAGGCGGATTTCTACGTCACGCAGCTGCACGTAGGGCCTTCGGCCGTGGTGGTCGAGCCGGGAGTTGATGATGTGTTGTCTCGGGCGCCCGAGGGGTGCATTGCGGTACACATACTTTCGGTCTCCATGGGCCTCAGGTTCCCTCTGCACCCCTTCCTCCGGGAGTACCTTAGGTTTGTTGGCTTGGTCCCCTGCCAGCTGACACCTAACAGCCACTCCTACGTGGCGGGTTTTTTGAACCTCTGCCGGGACCGAGGGGTGACCCCCAGCCTGGACTTGTTTTTCCAGAGCTTCAACCTCTGCTGAGGGGGTCACGCGAATGCCGAGGGCTTCGCCAACCTGCAGCAGATAGCTAGGTGGAAGCTATTTACAGAGGCGCCTTCGTCCAATAAAGGCTGGAAGGAGCGATGGTGCTACGTCAGAGTTGCTGAGAGCCCATTTCCGATGGAACTTCGGGATCGCTTCCGTCGGCATCCGAAGGTTGGAAACGCCGCTCTCGAGAAGGATGGCTTGATAATAGCCAAGATCCCGGAGGGTCGCACGAAGCAAGTGTCCATTAAAGACTACACTGCTGACAAGGAACTCTTCGCCCTCGGCTTCCGGAGATATCGCTTCATCGGGGAAACGGACGAGAAGTATCCCCTTTTTGATGAGGCCTTCGGGGGAGCAGGAGGTAGTCTACGAGGGACCTTAGTCTTGTGCTTAGTATTTACTATTTTTTTCCTTTTTTTTTTTGCTTTACCTTGATGTTATTGCTCCATGGTTGTTGACCCGTCGGCCTAACCCTTCACTATTTTGCAGGTATTCCCGTTTCGAAGATGAACGTGAAAGGCCTTGCTCGATTTAAGAACAAGCCGGCCAAGGATCCGAAGGGGTCGGATGCGGGCGGCCAAAAGCCCGTTGGTGCATTTTTCAAGAAGCCCGAGGGCGATGTTGCGGCCGCAAAGAGGAAAACGACGACAAAGGAATCCCCCCGGCTACCAAGAGATCGAAGAAGGGGGACGCCACGAAGAAGGACCCCCCGGTAGTTATCGTGGATGAGCATTCAACCTCTGGGCTGGTCGTGGATGTGCCGACGGCCAGAAAGCCGATGGGGACGGAGGAGATGCCCCCAGAGGTCCTGTAGGTTTCCCTCCCGAGGGGAACAGCCGTGACCAACTGCACGGTCAACCCGAGGGTGCTCCTGAGGGGCATGACCCCTGAAACAGATGGGGCTACCTTCGGAGCCTTAGACGATGTGGCGCTTGAGGACCAGATCCTCCGATCTTCCTTAACTGTGAGTTCCCTCATGCTTTCTTCCCTCCTTCCTCAGATTATCTTGCGCGGTTGTCCTGACAGTTTGCGTTGTTGATTTGCAGGCTTGCCTTGCCCTCGGCGAACAGGCCCGACGGTTGGAGGAATGGCGTCTCCACAAAACTGGACAAGACGCCAAGATGCAGGAGCTCATTCATAAGGACTCCAAGGCCACGAAGCTGATGGCCCAGCTCGAAGAGGACATCCGGCTTGCGAGAGCAGAGGCCGGAAGGCTCAGGGAGGAGAAAGCCAAAGCTGAGGAGGCTGCCGCGGAGGCCGCAAAGAAAGCCGCCGAGGAGGCCGAGGCCGTCAGAGTGAAGGCTGTTGTCAAAGCTCGGGAGGAAGCCATCTCCAGGTTCCTGGACGAGGGGTGGAAGGCCGAGGGATACAAGGGGTGGCTGTCCTCGGTTGTGGAGGCCTCTGTTGATGAATGGTGCGAGGGCCCGGGTGAGGAATGGATGGCCCGAAAGGGCAAGGAATATTTTGATGGGGGCGAGTTTTTTACTCAGGCCCTCATCTACCGAAGGATGGCCCGACAC